CTCCCGCCGTTCTTCCAATAGCTTGATGACCGTCGGGTAGAGCTTGGGAAGCTACTCGAACTCCCGACGGGGCCTAGAGGCTCCGAAACCCCCTGCGCCATAACTTTTATCCCTTTGTTTGCCTTATCCGTATTTATTGAACATAAAAAGGTTTCTTAGTCCATAAACATAGCCGGTCATCATATGTATCAGCCGTAATTACCGTTCAAACGAGAGATACTCGCGATCCGAAAAACAAGCCAATGTCGTCATAATTATTCCCGTAAATCTACTAATATCCTTTTCCATCGTCGATTTTTACGATTTATTTCGGTTTACTTTGAAACCACTTTCGCAACTGAGTTCGGCTCTATGTATTGCATACTCCATGTCTAACTAATGTATTGTACCGCCGCAGGTCGAAACTCTTAAAACTTTCTAACCCACGGTTCTACCGGTACACCATCAAACAACATGGCGGCACCCGTGATCTAAGTACATCGCTCAAGTCCATAACAACAACTTAAAATCATAAAAATCATAATATGTTCTCATTGTACTCTGTCCGATCAGGTGTTCTCTACAATATTCGCCCGCGTTGAGTGCTCTCCTCTCTCTTCGTTTGCATCTCGCCGCAATAACCACGCCAGTTCGTCGTTATACTGGATATACACCTCGCTTATATGCGGCACTTTCGATACCGAAACGTTGAATATTGCACATTTATCTTATACATTAACCACCTAATCCAGTTCTACTTAAAATTAAATATTAAATAACATATCATTCCCTATATGCTATGCAACTACCTCCATTAAAATATATGAACCTAACCTTTTATTCTTTACCATAGGTTGGAATAAGGCACTGTTATCGCTTTAACTAAAGATTCAGAACAAATACACAACTACTACCAGCAAGAAAAGGCGGTCCAGATAATGTACAAAACCACTCAGGTTCCAATATATTTATCTTATGCCTATATAGATATGGTTTAACCACCATTGTCGCTACATTTGAATATTTCTAGGTCTAACTTGGAAACTCGAACCCAATAATAAAGGTGCGTATTATATTCTTCCTATCCTGTGACCACTTAATTGCAACAAGTTACTATTAATTTATGTAACATCTCCTGCGCTATGCGATATACATTCTATTAATCCGTATGCCGATGTAATCTTCTATAGATTGGAACGACACAGTTGACATCGCCTCAAATAACCAAACAAGCAATTATACCTCTGTTACTTCCAACTATGTATTTAGGCTAAATAATCTATTACAAACTACATTCAGCCCCTAGATCTTCTGCGGATCACCCAAACGAACAAAATTTAAAACCATCTACAACCTATCGACTTAAAACTTAGGAACGAACATATAAGTAGGTGACCACTCGAATTCATCCATCTTTAATTTAATTGAGAACATTATCCTACTAATAATTTGCGAATACTAAACGACTTTATTTAATTTAGGAAATATCACCACATTAATGGTCAACCCACGAGTGAAATACTACTCCATTAACTAGCTTACTTAGGATAAAGTTTAGTAATGCATACCAATCTGTCATTTATTATATTGCATATAAATTGCTACTAGGCCTATACCTACTACGATCAACATTTACCTTGGTAATTAAAACAATAGCCACATACCTTAATTACAACTTATCGACCTAACTCAACTTGCAACTACTGATCAACTTTGTTAAATTTTTAGGAAAATACCACTATATTAATGGTCTACCACGGATGAAATAATACTCCAGCGGCAAACTTATTTGGAATAAAATTCATTAATGCATATAAACTGCTACTAAGCCTATACCTACTACGATCAACATTTACCTTGGTAATTAATGCAATAGCCAAGTATCTTAATCGCAACTTATCGTCTTAACTCATACTTGCAACTACTAAACTATGTTCAATTTTTAGGAAAATACCACCATATTAATGATCTCCGACGGGTGTAATAATACTCCATTGACATACTTATTAGGAACACCTTATTGGGAATACTCCATTGACCCACTTGTTTGGGATAAAATTAATACGTACAAATATATCCTTTATTACATAGCATATAAATTACTACCAAGCTTATCCCTTCTACATCCATATTTACCTTAGTAATCAAAATATAACCAAGTACCCAAAATAAAACTTATCAACGTTAATTGTCATAACTTAGTACAACATAATATATTCGCTAATCCCACACTAATGGCCAAGTTGCTATATAACTTAACTTAACTCAATCTATCCCCTTATAATCCTATAATCATAGGCAGCCCAACATTAAACTAATACTTACTGAATGCAACTGGCCACGATGCATTGTACCCTTATCCTTGTTCTAATAAGATAAAACTCCCAATATAGAACTAAAATGCATAACTCCCCCGATTGGTCATATTTAAATTTACTTATAGTTTCTAATGGAACTTGCAAGAAAACTAATTGTCCTTATGCGCTTAAAACGAAGACCCAAGTTGCTGGGCTACCGGATTCGATACCTCACGCACAAAGCAACTCCTTAACTTATAATTACTCAATCTCATACATAAAACAATTTCTATATCGTAAAACCCTTCTTTATTAAGGAATATATTACAAACAATGTTACTCTATTAATGGAGCTAATCATACATTTACTATCTTAATTACCACAATACTAATAACTTAATATAACTCGCTTCAAGCTTAAACTTACATTGTAATAGTAGCTTAATAATAGCTTAACGCTAGCTTACTCTAAACAATAAGATATTATGAAGCCAACTATGATAACATAGACAACATTTGATTATAACGGTATAACACACATATAACCCATCGCACCACTTTACACCTATTTATTATTGCTCATACATTATATCTTATGATTAACAACCATTCCTCATTAATAACCAAGTTTGTCTATATATAACGCATATAACTAAACTTTTTTCCTGCTCATATTGGCTAAATTTATCCTATACTTTCAAAAAAATTATTCTCCTTATAAGATAACAATACTAACCGTTACCATTACGCTCCATATATATAAATAATAATAAATAATAATAATATAAATAATAACATCACTCTACGTCACCAAAGACTTAACAAATAATGCGATAAAACATATACACTAATGTCCAAATCACCATATTTATATTATACATTTCTCCTATAGACTTTACGTGTCACCGTTGACACTACCTCTACAACCTATACTCCTCCATTTTTAATTTATTGAAACATTAGCTCAAAATACTCAATTAAATCTGCATTAAGAAACAAACTGTTAATCTGCTTGCTGTCTACGCACTAAATATTACCAAGTCCAGTAAAAAACATCATATCCTTACATATATGGGCCTGTTCTAACCTTGAACAACCTCCTTTTTAACACTAGGTTTACGGGCGTTTCGTATATACCTATCTCTACGAGCACCCGTCAAATTGACGGGTAAACGAAAATATGCATTTTTCTTTAAAAAATCGATTTATTCAAATTAAGTCTGAAAGGAAGAATATTAGGCTTCACGTTTAAATAAATTATTAATAAATAAAGTCTCTTTTTTAAATTATCACTAAAAAAATAATAACATTAACGGTATAGGGTAATTATATCTATTGAGCGCATTTTTTACAAATATACTGAATGTTGTTTGTGCATTTTCCTCATACGATTTTTCTGCAATATATACAATAATTATTACATCTATTTTCTTTTTTTTTGCAATACTTGGCAACTTTTTCGCACTTCTGACGTTGAAGGTGACAGAAATGAAGCGTCTGATCTTTGGCAAATGTTCTCCTTGTTTTCTTCAGCTAATTCTTCGGCTAAACAAAATATGAATTCCTTTCTGCATATTTTCAATCTGGTGCACTCTTTATATAATATCCGCGCGTTTATCGCTGCCAAATCCAAAATATTGAAAAAGACTTGAAGGGACCGTCAGAAACTCCCTGCTTTCACACTATATTTGTGTGCCATTTGGTCAATAACGTCCACACCAAACTTTTTTTTATTGTAAAAAGCAATGGTTTTTGGAACACGTTTATAATTATTTTCTATTCGTACACCTGTATGTTTGCTGCTTAGAAGGAGGACTTTTACTTTAGGTTTACTTTTATACACAGTAAGTGTGCACAGTAAGTGTAAATGTTTTCTGATTTATATAAATCTGAGGAAAACAAAGTCATCTTGTCCTTTTTTTCCTTTCCTGGTTATGGCAGTTCTTTTTTATTCGACCAGATGGTCCCAACCAAAGTTGTTTTTTGTACTAGCAAATTTTTAGCTAGCGGGATGCTTGTAAAGAAATTGTCTATTGTTATATTTCTGCCTCATTGTAAATATGGTTCGGCTAATTTTAGTATTACAAACCCGCTTAACGGTATTGAGCATCGATCGCGATTGAGAAATGCCGAATTGGAGACATCTTAGTAAAGACTTTTCTTTCATTGTTATATTTATTATTGGAGGAATGACTTTATGTACGAAGCAAACATATAAGGTTTATTTCTGAAATCAGCTAAGCCGTCAATTTGACGGGTCCTGTAGAGATAAGTATACTACATACAGATTTAAAAAATTAGAAAGCCTAGGAAAAAATAATTTTGTGTATAAATTCTTTAGATGAAATGATTAATTTACGATGCAAAATGGTTAAAATTGGTACAATTGGTGCAATTGGTTTTTGAGATATTTCATTTCGAAGTTCGAAATCCGTCAAATTGACGGCTCCCGTAAACCTAGTGTTAATATTCAAATTTCCACATATTTAAATCATTAAATCCTTATGTCCACAATATTCCATCGACATGATAATCATAATCATTCATTTTCTTTGATCACCAATATGATCTTTTATTCTATGTAACTACTGTTCAAACCGCGATATATACCTATTATATTATATATAACTATTTATAACTAAATAGTTTATACGTCTTTCACAGTCAATATTTTTCCAGTTCCACTGTCTCTGTCAATATACAATGCCTTAAATCACTGCTTTTTAATTAGCTGCAATTCCTCGAGTACATACAAATAACTCCAATTTTCGAGAGCGAATCGAAGCACGTCCTCACCTTCCAACGTCTCGAGCCGAACTCAACGTATGTGGTAAACCTATCTCTATGAAACCCGTCAAACTGACGAACTAGCTGTTTTTATAAACAATCTGTTTTTTAAAGACAGTCTGCAAAAGTTTCAGTTATTGTAGACAGTCTCCGCTTATTGTAAGTATTTACAATAGGATAACTGAATTTAGTACAAAATTGAATTAAGCACAAAGGAAATATTAATCATTCCACGATGCAACTGTTGACCGGACACTGGATATTCAACGTGTACCGTAGGACAAGGACCTTGACAAGGGAGCGGACACGGGCGACAACGTCGGTTGTATACCGCCCTCTCCGAAAACCGAACTGACCGTCGTGCAGTTCGGGCACACTCAGGGACAAATGCGATCCAGGCGAGCAGCCACCACTCTTTCCAGCAGCTTGCCCGCCTCGCCCAAAAGGCACAC